TTGGCTTTCACCCGGTTAAGGGAACAATTTATTTTGTCAGGCAAATTAGGACCGAGTTGTTGGGATATTTCTCTGCCCCAATGTTTTTGTTCTCCACAGAATAGGTAAAATATGTTTGTCCCCACAACTACGAAACGAGTTTGTATGTCTGTGCAATATAGCTGAAATTTGGCATACAGATGAGCGTCTAAAATATGCTGTTCACAACCTTGAGGCAGCAAGAAATAAATCTTTACTTGAGGCCAACTTGATCAAGTATTCACGCTAATGAGCATCAGATAGACATGCATGTGTTGTGTACATTTTGGTCTTGAATAAAGATGGTAGTGTGTGATGGAGTTGATTTCAGACAGGCGTTATAGAATAGCGCTGAACCAAGTAAATTTAAGAGTGACTTGGGTTGACTCGATTAAATTTTGCTTACAGATAGACAAACATAAAACAAACATTTGCATTATGTTTGGCCCATGAAAAAAGTGATGTCTGAAGCCAAGTCATTCTGGTGTCATTCCGAGCACCTGCAAGTGTCGATCTTTTGCCTGCTAGTATGCCTGGTCGGTCCGAATTGTTTCAGACGTCAAACATTGGCTCGTACTTTATTCAAAATTTGACTTAATTTGGTTTGGTTTAATTCGGAACGCTTGTCTGAAATGGGCATTACATGCTTTCAAGATATTTAGTGCAAACCAGACCTTAATACCACGGGGCATCACACTGCTGTGTTTTGCCACAGGGTCAACTGATCAGCATTAAGGATTCACGTTTGCTCAAAGAAGCTGCACTGCCGTGAGTCTTGTATGAATCAGAAATATAAAGGTTGAATTAACAGTGCATTTTATGTTGTTGCATTTTGATGTTGGTTACCCACAGATCAGAAGCGCAATCAGCTAATGGTGAGTCACCTAGCCAAGTTGAGGACGGGTACCGGGGAGAGACAAGACAAGACAAAGGTCAAGGAGGTATGTTGAGTCTAAAGTGCATGACACGCATCTTGCAGCTCAGTATCTGTCTAGATTGATTTATGTTGACAATAATTGTCTTTATTAATTTAACCAGGAACAATTGTGTTATTACTCTGGCTCACTTGCATAAGTGTTTTTTCCAGATTGCAAGGTGCAAGAGATGTCAGTTAATGAATGTTTTTTAAGGCTTTGTAAACCAGAGGACTATTTGCATCCCAGAGTTTTGCATAGATTGCAATTTTGACTGCACTTTTTAATGTTTCTTTCGTAGAATGAGACAAGTGATGAAAGTAACTCTTCATCAGACAGGTGAACATGTACACAAATATAATATAAACATTTTAACCTGTTAGTGTACACTGCTCAGTGCATGTTTGTCTTGTTTTGAACTTCTCTGTCTTGTAGTATGCTGGAGGTTTGTTCAGTCGTCTTGAGGCCCAGTTCAGAGCCTCCTCACAGATCTCTAAGCCCCCAGCCATGCAGGTGACTTTACAAAGGTAAGGCATTGGAAGACGGCATACAAGAAATTTCGGAAAAATGAATTTTGAATAATAATTGTCGTACAACAGCGGATACATGTTGGAAAGAGCATCGGAAATAAATCATTGTTGTGAAAAAAGGACAAGTTCACAATTACTGATAGATATTTTTGTAGTGTAATTTTTCTCAATGTCTTTGTCAAAACGTTTTCAAGATCCATTTTTTTCACACCATGCTCCTTTCACTTCTATTTCACACTAAAATTAATCTAGTTTTGGATGGTTGTAGTCCAAAGCATCGAGCGTTGTTCACGGTTCAAACTTGCTAAACCACTACATGAGGAATGCCAGCAAAAACTTCTCGACAACGACAATAGTTGTGGGGTATTGCTGTTGCGTACCCTGTGATAATCAACAGTGAATGGGCTTGTGTTTGTTAAGATTCAAACCCGTGTCTTGCTCGCTGGCAAAATATCTGAAATCATCTGTTGATTTACGTTGTTTGGGTTGCCCGACTGACTTAAGACCACCCGCAGAAAAAAGGCCCAACAGATTGATACTTTGGCTTTGCTGTGGTTAAGAAATAGTTGTTCATGTAACTTGTTGCAAAATGGTAGAAAAAGTAACTGTTACAATTTGACAGACAGACAACTCTCAGTACAATGCTTAACAGTTCAAGATGTGGTCAGTCTGTCGTAAAAGTCCCATCATTTTAGTTCTTCTGCTCATTTTTATTGCAGAGCTAAAACAAGGGCCAATCAGCTACGGACAACTTGAAAAAAAAAAAAAGATCTACAAAATACAGCAAAGTTGATGGACTACGCAAGTCGGTGAAAGAAGTAGATTCGGTCGGCAGTAGATGATTGCTCCCATCTGGAGACTTAGAAATTGTTACATGCTGTGAATGCACACTTTACCAGCTTTGAAAATGTGATATATGTACATGCACGGGTTTTCCAACTTTCTTAGCCACCGCACCTTTTAACCGAAAAATTTCCAGTTTTTAAAAATACATTTCAAGACAGAACTTAACTCAGCAACCGGTGTGAAAGAAACACTTGAATGGGTGAACCCTGCATTTTATTGAATTTTTATAAAACAACAGATGTCAAAGGGCTTGCATCACCTGCCAATGTGGAAGAGAAAGGCCCAAAAATCTTACATAAGTAAAGTTTAACAATTGTTCTGATGAGGTTAATAAATCCATTGATTACATTCTTGGCATACTTTCAGAGGTTGACCTGCAGCCAGCTTTGACAAATACATGTATTCTGAAGCCCGTTTATGTTGAATTCTTCTTCAATTGGCAGAATATTTATGATGTAGTTTGAATTTTTTCTTCTTTAAAAGATTTATTGAAGTGTTACAAATAAATTAATATTAGGTATTAAAGAAGACATCGCCTGCTCCTGTTTCTTGAAATTCAACCTTTGTCTTGCACCATTTAATGTAATATTTCCCCACGCTCAGGGGGCATAGAGACTGTTGCACCCCCACGATGAATTCCAGTCGGCAAATCCAAAATTGATACAGAAATTATATATGTTGGCCATCGGCATTTCCCCACTAAGTGAATTTTACACAACACGATGTTGGCAAACAAGTTTCAACGGCAAATTGACTTTGGTACATCCCACCCCCAAAGGAAATGCCTTTGCTACACCCCTACCTAAATGGGACATTTTTCAAGATGGAATAGATCAGAAACAGTCCAAGAGGCCAGCTTGGCATTTATTGTTCATTACTGTTAGGCAACCCCAGCCGTAAGCAAGCCTGATCACTTCAATTTTCAACTTTGCTAACATGGTGGCCAAGATAACGGAAACACTGCGCTTCTTGATTAATTCAGGCAGTAATCACTGAGGGCTTTGGAGGATTTAAAAAAGAGCCACATCCACTGAAAATCGTGAAGTCAAACACTTCCAGAAAAGAAAAGCAGTTCAAACAGGGGCTCCAGGACTGTTTCTCTAAATCTCTTGCTTGGTCTCAACTTTGGCAACAGCTTCCACAGATCCCTGACACCAGAGTGGATGGCTCTACAGGAGGCTTTGCGCTTGTATTGGAAACACAGCCTGGTACTTCTCCAGCAAAGGGTCATGGGTTCAAACCCATCATAGGTGGTGACATGCTGTTACCTTTGGCAAGTTACTCTTACCATATGTGCCGTTCTCAACCCCAGAGTAAATGGGTGCCTGTGAAGGCAGAGATACCAGCAGTATTAAAATGACATTAACTATGAGTCTTACAAATGGTACAAGATATGACTGGAAAAAGTATTCAACTGAAGCAATACACTCGTCTTTCCCTGTGCTCTGAGAAAATGACTGCAATGGGCTACAGTGCCAGAGATGAAGTCAAAAGTGGAGTGAAAGTCAAGTTTAAGAAAGACCCTGGATGCTCAGTAGACCCTACCTGAGTAAGACCACTTCTTACAGGTATCTTCATGCTCTGTTGGTTTCAGAACTGATCAGCTATTGTTCGTGAGGACCAAATAAAATACACTCAAGGCCTTAACTCGACAATGTCGCTGGAGTTCAAGAACGGTTCCAGGGTACAGGTTGGACGGCATACTGATCATGTATTGAAATCTGCAAACTCTATGCCATAAAAAATCAAAAAGTATTTACAATGCAAACTCTGAAACTCTGATGACTTCTTAATCAGAATATTTACCCAGCAGCATCGTAAGTCAACTAGTCACACAGCAAGTCCACCATAAGTGAATTGTAAGTCGGGCAATATGTAGAACAAATGACTGATACTTGGAATACTTTTGTCCATGTCTATTTAAACAGCTTGCCCCTAGACTTGAAGATCTGTGATGAACCCAGGACAGACCAGACTGTACTATTGTTCAGAAAAATGGTCTGCCGTTCAATGTTATCTGCTGCAAGTCACAGGAACTGTTTACACATATGAAATTACAAACTACCAAATAGAAATATGCACACAAACGGCTGCAACAACCACATCACACCAAGTTAATACAATTTCATATAATTAAAGATATTTCATGTACAGACTGTCCAAATGTCATGATCTTGGAGTGAGCCTAAAATTAAAATGTGAAAGACAAAATGAATTCGTTGTATAATGAGCTACATATATTCAGTGCCCTGTCATACTCAGAGTTGTAGGCGAATCCAACACATGCCTATTCACACATCAAAATTCAGAAGTCCTTTAAAAAAACCAATAATAACTGAAAAATGATTGACAAATACATGTTTTTGTCACGGTGCACTTGAACAGCATGACTCGATTTGAGACGGAATGATTTGATTCGCGATGGACTTGTGATGGATTTGACTACAAAGACAGAGGTCATACTTTACATGGATATATAAAGCATAATAGAGGGAACTATTAAATGTAATGGGCCTGTTACTCGTATGTGTATTTGAGATGATGTTCCACCTGTGGTCACATTTGTTCCTCAATGGTTTTTGTGTCACATTGGCTTTGAGTCATTTTAACACACATGTGATTTGCTCCCTAACAATTCAACCGTAAATACACAACAGGTGGGTGTAGAATACATACATTCAGAAACGTTCTTACACTGCGTCATCTTGTTCTCAGTTATATTTTCCTCAAATTCAGCGACTTCTGAGTCTTGAGAACTGAATGCTTCCAAAAAAGCCACCAATGAAAACTTGTTTGGAGATGAACAGGTGTTTTCATTAGGCTAAAAAGTCTCTGGTTTCTGGTCAGCGCGCGCGTCACTCTAGACCTGCGTGTCCGTAAAATAAAAAAGTTTATTTAATATGATGTCCAAAAGCTGCCAAACTTAATTGATCGACTGGAATCCTGCTACTAGGTAATTTTCATTTGTTTTTGATGGGGTACAATTGAGTACTATTTACAGTAAAGGAGTCCCTCTGGGCCCCCATACATTTAGTCAGGCACTCTTTTTCAAATAATGTCATTTCTGTATAATACATTTACATCTGGGAACCAGACAACCGAGGTGGTCTTATACATCTACAACCTGAAAATGCTTGTCAACAGTAAATAGTACGGGGCCAGTCTATTTCAGTGCTGGTAGCAGCGGTACGTACGCATGCAGTTGCAATGGACATCGCGTGTTACATGTACATCATTTCTAGGGAAAAAAAGGAGGGCAGAAATAAAACCTCTCGTCGCCACACCACTTTTGGAGCCAACCCCTGACCAGAAACCAGAGACTTTTTGGGGGGCCTTAGTAACCCTTTCACTGCCTATACACTCGCCTGTTTGATATCAGCATACGTATAGAAGATGTTGGAAAGAAGCATTTCTGTTTTTTATACTCAACTTCTTGTGTCACAGATGAGCAAAAATAAGGCACTTCTTAGTCTCATGTTGCCTTTAGTCAGATCTTAAGTCTGCTTCATCTCCATGAAGTAGAGGTTCTTGGCAGAGCCTGCCACAAATTTTGGGATGGCACCCCGCCGGTTGTTGTCCAAGCAGTAGACACCGCGGGGCAGGTCAACCAGTCTACCAGTGGTCTGGATTTTACACAGAAAGGGAACAGTGCAGATGAACATGTGAACAAATAATGGATTACATGGAATGAGACGCACTGGTACTCATTTAGGGGTATTCACATTATCACACAATTATCTTCTCATTACATGTACATCTGTCCAAAGTCCAGGGTGACATCAGTAGCTATTTAGATAATGTGATGCTTGAATCAAATATGAGAGCTAGGCTTCAACATCCCCTCTCCTTCCCTGGGACAAAGCTGGAAACATTTTGGTGGCTCGTGCGATAGGGATCGCTCGGCAGTTTTATGGAAAAGGGGAAAGCCTTGGAATGCATGGACTATTTAGAATAAAATGTATACATATCAAATATGTCCATGGCATGTTTACTGACTGCTTGATAGTTCTTCGATTTTCAATTTTTTGAAGGAGGGGGCGGAGGTTTGATTGTTGTAAGTATTCTGTTGGTGATATCACTTTCAAATTCTTTTTCTGTTGCTATTGCTACAAACACGGAAAGGACACTACAGTTCAACCACTGCACGAAATGTGTTGAAAAAAGAGCACTGAAAAACACACTCGTGCCAGCGCAGAGTACAAGTGATACATAATACAGTGCCTTGATGTCCCTGCCTAAAAGCACATGGTGTTCCCGTATGTGTCAAACTGACAGAGTGCTACAGCAAAGAATCCATAGTCAACAACTCCAAAGTGTTCAGGCAAGCATTTCTTTTCCCGATATGGGCAAGACAGTCGATGTGCCGTTACCTGTAGCGTTCCCCTGTCGATGACGCGGACCATGTTGGCATCGCAGCCTCCCACCAGGATGTGGTCTTTGCCAAGCCACTGAGCACAGTACAGCTGAATATCAAAAGGGACAAAAATGTAGTTTGCAGTACAGCATGTTAACCATAACTGCATGAGGACAAGTAAACATGATCTTACTGGCTGTAGACACGGGCACGGTCACATTTAAACACTAATACCCGCCTTCCTTTTGTACACATACACATACAAAGAAGTCTGAGAAGTCTGTGAAGGTGGACCGTGTATTGAACTTGAACTTGGCTGCTGTGCACAGTCTTTTGTGGTAACAAATACTGCTCCGTGAGAGCATCCCTCTCCCCTTGCGTGTTAAACTTTAAGAGATCGTAGAAACAAATAGTGTACAAATACTGTTCAAATGACTCCTGCAAATCAGTGTTTATGACATTTGACTGTATATCCCAATTGTATTGCTACACGTATATCTTGCCTTTGTCAGAAGTGAAATTTTTTGCCAAAAATTATCCACCCCGGGCTGAAGTGCACCCCCAAGAAGGACAGGTGGTTTCAAGTGGATTCTTGCATGCTCTGCGTGTACGCAAAGACCATACATGCCGGAATAAATTAGTTACACGTACTCAGCGTGCTCCGCGTCAAATGCGCATGTACTTGCACGCCTCATGGCGCGCCTAGAGGGTGAAAAACACGCCCTCTTTTGTTCCACTCGGAGCGGATACCACCTGCAAGTGGCTTGTCATCAAATATGGGTACCCAGGACTGTATGACTGAAGTTTCAAATATTCAATCAAATGGAAGATTCAAATATTGGCAACGAATTGACTCAGTCGTAGGACAAATTGAAAACCAAGGTCAAACTCACCAGAGAATTATTGAAATCTTGAGGGACTGTCCGTATCAGATTGCCTTTGGCGTACTCCCAGATCTGTAGATTGTAGTCTTTCCTCCAAGACCCAGTCACAATGTGGTTGTGGTAGGAGTCGATGTCCAAGGCATCACCGCAGACATGAGGACCACAGATTTTCCTACAGCACACAAAAGTTGCCATGAGTATCTAACAAGGAGGAATATTAGCCGTCCATCTCAAAGTACCGTGATTCTGGGCTCAGATTCTGTGGGGAAAGTTTAAGGAAGGGGCAGACACTAGATTTCCGAAGACGCTGAAATTATCACAGTGGAACAAATGTGATATACCCTACATGGAGAAGTAGCCTACAATCCATTCCTTCACAAACATGCACACCAATCAGATGATTAACCAACTATATCCCAATAGGGGCAAACATGTACATGTATGTACATGTACATACCATCTATTGGTACTTTTTAGTCTGCCCCAATCGAGGTAGTTCTGGAGACTGACTGGCTTCTGCAAAATGAGTCTTGAGTTCATTTTTCTGTAATTGTATTTCTGTTTTCATTAGAAAGAGGGAACCAAGTTCACTGGTTGGAGACATCACTCTGTTCAGCATCCTAATTGAAATGGGCAGACAGGCCAAAAATAGCGAGAATTCCAATAAATTTAAATCGTGCAAGGTTCTTTAAAAAGTGGCTCTGGTCACTTATGACTCACTTTACTAGATTTGATGATCTGGCTTGGTTACCATTGTTGCTGATTACCTGATTGAGTGCTCCGACCTGACGTCCCAGAACTGGACTGTATCATCCCAGCCCCCAGACACAAACTCCTCTAACTTGCTGGGATGAAACTTGAGAGAGAATACCCTGAAACGGTGACCGTCCATCACGTTCATGGAAGGACTGCAGAAAAAGTGGCATGATTATCTTGTTAACACTCTGTCATATCTTTGATTTTTCGAAACATTGATATCTTCAACACCAAAGTCTTGTCATATCTTTGATTTTTCGAAACGTTGATATCTTCAACACCAAAGTCTTGTCACAGTGGTTCACAAGAGAAATGCATCCTACCTTGGCTGGCAAGTAAAAATCCTCTTTCTGGTTTTATCGTCGTACACGTTGATCTTCTCGTCTGAGCCTGCCGTGATGTAGATGGACGTGTCCTTGTTGTAGGCCACAGTCAGCGTCTGTCTGGTCTCGTGAGTCGTGTGGAGGCAATCTCCAGTGGCAATGTGCCACAGTTTGACCATTCCACTTGCATCTGGTATGAGAATGAAGAAGCAAAATGACTCAATTGGTACCAAGCTGCATCTGCGATCCAATCGTCAAAGTGATGACATCTGGAAATACCATGCGCAAATACAGACACACAAAGTCATTCCATAGTTGTGGGGACAAACAGGATATTTCACCTATTCTGTGATAAATGAAAACAATATGGGGGCAGAGAAATATCACAACTCGGTCCTAATTTGCCAATCTGACCCACTGAATGCCTACCCAGGGCGTCATCTTGGAGTGCAAAATTGTCTGTCTGCCCTGACTTTAACTGCGGTGTCTTATCTTCCGAATCGACACAGCTAAATGAAACTATGTAGGTTCACACAAATTGAAACAGTGCCCCCAACTCTGCCCACACGTGTCATTTCCGACCCCCCCATTTTCAAAACTTCCAGTTTTAGATCACACCCGGCCCATCAAGGACGAGTCACTACGTGAGACACTGTACTGGGACACATCTTTTGTGTAGTATTGGCGATAATTTACAGGCCACGCCAATACCAACACGCATGTACTGTACTTATTGTACTGGCACTGGTGGGAATAGATCAAATCTTGTCATTGTTTTAATAGTTAGAGTACTTTCTTTTCACGGGATTCTTGCTTATGGTTCTTACATGTGGCAAGCAGTAGGTTGAGGGACTTGTCGCCCTCCACGTACGGCCTGAAGACAAGGCTAGTGCATGGCAGGTGGGCATCCTGTGTCTCCTGGTCTATCAGGTTGTACAGGGCTGCACCTGTATCCGATGAATAAACCTGTTGGAGAAGGGATTGTACTGCATGAATATTCAGGTGTTAATAAAAACATGTGCAGAGGAGTAGAAGATTACATATACGTGTAGTTGAGTTTTTTTTATGTACATGTACTTCGTAGTCTGTCCTTCCGTTTTAGGCGTACCCCCCTCTTCCCTGTAATAGTAGTGTCCACCCTTCCCTAATTGTTTATTCTGGCCCCACCTTCCTGTATGCTACTCATGCATATGTATGATTAACAGGCTTGATTACAGGCTTTATTCTTCTCGTCTGTAACATAAAGTTGGTATCAACTTGTCAATTCAGACATGAACTATGAATATTTATTAAAATTCATGGTGATTGCTGCATGTACGAAATGTTTGGACTGGAGCAAAAGTTTGATATACATGTAAGCTTACATGAGCTATAAAATAACTCCCAAACAGCCTCGAACCGAGGCTACAACAATACTAAAAATTTAAAAAATAATTACATGCATCTACAACTCCCGAAGCTGACTAAAATCTTTGTCACTTGCCATTTGGACGATCCATTTCCAGTGAACATTATTTCAACATGAAAAAGCAAAGTCCATTTTCATATCTGACAGGATGCGCAAACCAATCCATGTACATTAGCAAGGATCTAAGTTTACAGTCCATTCCATGTCTGTGTGATTTTAATGTGTTTCTGCTGATCAAACAGAGCAATGTAAATATTTACCGACAATCTGTCCCTCTACTTTTTTGGGGGGGGGTTGAGGAATTGATCATTACCAATGACTGAAATGTCTCACCTCGGTGAGTAAATAGCACCGTGTCAGAGTGAACGTGGTGGGACTCAAACTGAACAACCAATTAATCAATGGACCATACTTCAACACAGCTGCAGAAACAGTTCCGCATTCCCACCAAATATTTTGCCCCTTGGTTATGAGGTTTCGCTTCACCAAAGTTAAACAGTTGGAGAAATGAACACGTGAAATCAATATCTAGGTAAATGTAGGTATGTTATTCTCTCAGTTCTAAAACCCTTGGAGTATTTTAACTCAGACCCTTCCTGCAAAATTACACATTTTTCAAAAAACAAATACAGTGCATTGTTTGGGCTGAATCAAATGTGGAGAACAGGTACATTTATCATGTTAAGTAATACTTGATAGGTTGTGCAGTCCTAACTGCCCAAGTACTGAGGCACATGTATAATTTTGACAGGCCTGATGCAGTAAAGATTTGAAAATATTTGTAAAGCAGCCAGACTGGACATGAATGACTCTGACGGGGCTTTAAGATGATGCTCAGCACATCACAGAACCAAATTTAGCACAACTGTGACTGCCAGCCAAAATGCTGCGCTATAAACGTACCTAGCCAGTTGTCTGCTTCACACCACTAAGAAAACAGAGTGCGTACTGCTCCTTCTACGTGTAGCCACACTGCGAGTTTTCAACAGCTACATTGTAGTTGACGTTGTGCACATGGGGTATTTGAACAGATTACCCCGCATATTTTCTACCTCTGAAAACAATTTGGCAAAAGTTCAACCTTTTTGGGGGTACAGTTAAGGGTCATTGAGTGGTGCCATTGATGATAACCGGAGTCTACATGTACCTGCTGTTTTACTTTAGTGACTCCACTCGAGTCTCAAGAGGGTCTCATTCTCAACCGTACCTTTATGCTGCCGTCCACACATCCAACTGCCAGCAACGTACCGTCATCGTTGTAACAACAGCACATCACATCCTGGGTACACTCTCTGTACAAAATCAGATGAGGGGAAAAACAGCAACACTGAAAATCGTTCTGTGGCAACCTGCTAAATATGACAAAATTCAGCACAGCTGACATGAAAACCCGGCTGACTACGACGATACGCAACAGTGGATCAATACGAGCCTTGGCACCATATGCAGTCACACACTGTACCCTGTTACTTTGCATTCATCGCCAAAAAAATCAAGAAAATAAGTTCAAAAAGTTCTTATTGCTGATATCTAATGTTGTATTTAGGCTATTTTAGCCGGGTTGAGGCTACAGATTGGTGGATGGATGTGGAAGAAATCTAAGGCCAACACAGACTGATGAAATTCCTCCTCTGAAATCAACTTCTTTCCATAATTATATCAAAAGATTTTTGACAAACGTGAAATTAATCTCAGATTATGCTCAACATTTGTCCATTCACAACAGGTTGGATTTGGTGCCAGTATCTTCCATTAAACAGAAAACGTTGATCAGTCATTTTCAGCTGACATCTACTACATAACACACAACGTATAAAAAGGAATTAAGTGGATTTTTCGAAACATTTTTCACGCTTTTCTCATGAGGTTTCCATTAATGGCAAGTATAAGTCACTTGAAAACGTTTGAGCTGCGAATAGGTTTTTTTCCCTGTTTGAAGACAAAATTGAACTAAGGAAAAGGCAGACAAATTTGGTGGAATGGGTGCTGTCACTATGGTGTCAAATTCTGTAAAGGCTTCAGGGTTTGTGTTGAAAAGATCAAATATATTTGCGATCAGTTATAAAGCCTTGCTTGACTTTTCAAAGTGTTTGAAATTCAAACAATTAGCACTTAATTCTGTGGATTCGGGACTTCAACATACTTCACTGTGTAACACTTCAACCAAGGCCAACATTACTTGTTTATGACACACCTCTGAAAACCAGACAAGTTTGACGCTGACACTTGGCTCCGATCAATTGACATCCATTTTCAGAACTCAAAATAATGTTCTGGTTTCTTGATTAACTTTTGAACACAAAGAAATCAGAGTGACCCCACCTGATCCATGACAAGGCAATCTTATAATACAATTTGTCGAGCATTTGCAAGGCTCAACTCAATCAAACTGAGTAAATACAGGGCCATGGAAATCTCTTCTTGATTGTCAGTGCCACGTTCTGTTCATCAAACCTATTACATGTATCTCTTATCCTGCAGCACAAGAAAGAAATTAAAAAGGCGGATCTGTGATGACAAAAAAATCAGGCAAATATTGAACAACTGGGACACGGTCACGGCACAAGTTTGTTAACGTTTATTACTGTACATGTAAATACTGAATAATACAATAATGAAAATCCTCAAGCCTCTGACTGCTAACATATTGCTCTGAAGTTTTTTAACAGTTGATTCTGTTGATGGATTGACAGTCTCAGAAAAAAAAGTGCATTTCATTCTCTGGAATTTTTATTCTTGACGAATTTATCTTGATGAATTAAGTCTAGAATTTGTATTCTCAATGTTTCAGTTGGTAACTGCATGTACATATACATGTAATGTTAAATTTGCAGTTAATGCCTATTAAATGTAAAACAGACAACTACACCCTTGCCTTATAGACTTTGGATCCTGTAGGACTGTAACTCTATCATGTTGACCTGTCCAAGGCAACGGTCCTTCAATATTATTAGGCAGGTGAAAGTGACCAGGGAATAAAATACGTGCAGCCTGCTGGTCAATTAAGGCCCTTACAACACTGGAATAAATAGCACCTGTGCATGTAATTGAAAGTTAGAGAACTTGAGAGAAAGTTAACACAACAGACATAGTCTGTAATTTGAGAAGACACCAAATCTGTGAAAGACAGACCACACAAAGAATTCGGTCACAAGAGAATGACTACGTGTAGGAGCTGGCCAACACTGCTGTCACCCTTTGAAGCAAGAACTTCAAGTAGTTTTATCCGTATTCAACACCTAGTAATTTACACCCAGTTGCAACACTATTCCACCCTGTCAGCTGAGCATGAAGCTGAAATTATCCACTTAATTTGATGACGAATGCCTTTGTTTACGTATCATCCTGGCCAAGCTACATGTATACACCAGAGTTAGTCTCAGATAAGACTTGAGTGAGCTGAACACGTTCCTGTCTGGTCAAAGTAAACACGGCAGTCTGGCTATTATTTTGGTCTGTGAATGCATAAATTTCCATCAACCAGTGAACTGTAGCCTGGAAGAGTCTTCAGAGTTATCCAAGGGGGTTAAGCCATTACACAATCGTAAGGTACAGTCTATGTAAGTGCCAATGGACATTGAGAACCAGTATACATGTATGTACATTCAATTTCATGGGGACTCCATCTCAGACTACTGATAGTGTGAGTTTATAACATGATATAAGTCAGACTGAATTTCATTGTCAATGAAAAATTCCAATTTCAATTTAAAGTACACATGAAGTATACTTGGTTCCTATATTTTCACGGTAACTCTATCATCGCGGTATCAGAAATTTTGAATTTTACGCTGCCAGTGAGTTCCCAATCAGCAATATTTGTCCAGTTAATCAATAATTTATGGTCTTAGAATAAGTTTTATTACAACAGAGAGAAAAATTCTGCATGTTTCCGTTAGTTTTGACAATTTTTGATAAAAGATGTACATGTACTTTTTCCAAAATTTGTAAAGTCTCCTTGACCGTGTTCATCATTACCTACCGTCTATCCCTCTAACAGTTACATGTATTTCTAACACCACCCTGCCCTTGGATATCCGTTGCTGGGTTCCCATGTCAATTTTGAAATGGCCAAAAGGTGCCTAAAGGCACATTTTAACTGTGAAAATGCCCTTTTTGGGGGAGTCAAAATAAGGGCTCCTGCGCTGAAAAACTCTTTGCGTGTGTAAAGCGTGCCCCAATCTCCATTACAATAGACTTGTATCAATCATACTTTTACCCTCCATCCTTGGGGCCATTAGCGAATAATTATGTAGACATTACAGGGTTCGACCTTAGTGCTGGTCCGCTAGACAAATTCTAGTAAAAACCGCGGCGGACCAGTCAAACCCGTCATCTGGGTAGTCCGACTGTCTAGTGAAGCAAAAACAATACCGACCGCATGAAATCGGACGGCGTCGTTAGCTAGTCTACAGTAAAAAATAAAGCCCAAACGAAGTCTGGATCGGCTGTTCTGTGTACCCATTTAATCCAAATAAAAACGTGTAGTATGATAAACAGTTCTGTGCAGACAAAAACAGACAAAAAATTACCTTAAAAATTAAGGGGGAAGGATGCGGACCAGTGAAAATGCTGGCGGACTAGTGAAAAGTCTACATTACTGGTCCGGATGGCCAGTGAAAAAAAAAGTTAAGGGAAAACCCTGCATTATTATCCCCATTTTTTTTGCTTTCTAATACAAGTTGAAGAATTTACAAAGGACATTTAGAGTTTGTAAAATGAATTTTGAATAAAATAATTTACATTTAATGAGATGGCTATAACTCTAGGAGAATGAGAACTCAGACAGAAGACATTTTGAACAGTTGTTTCAGACATCAATTAAAGAATGAGTCCACCAAAAACTTAAAATTTACAATACCCACATATTTCTTATTCCTTCGGTAAAACACCAATTTAAGTAACGAGATGAATGTCAAAGTTGTTGCTGTCTCATAAGATTGGGGTAAACAAGTTCTGATGAAAAAAATGAAGTCTTTCCTTTCCGGATTAAAAGTATAAGGTGATGCAGTGCAACTGTTCCCATCTCATTCTCCCAGCGTTTGGCATCTTTAAGGAGAAGACTGAAAAAAATGGAGTTAATTACAAGTAAAATGGAACTGTACTGCATCACAAAGTGAGGCTAAAATTATTCTTTTTATCTTTATTATTCATAAACAAAGTTCTTTAAAGGTCACCACAGAAGCTATTTCTTGATACTGCGATAATAGAGACTCCACCTCCGCTTGCATACGGTGTGCAAAGAGATTTTTTAAGCTATCGTAGTGGAAAAGAAATTGAACCACAAATACAATTTTATGAATCAAGTTAAATAGTACAAGTTAAACAACAGCAAGGATAGAATAATTCAGGAAGGTGAGTGGGCAATCTTTATTTTGATTGGGAAAACCAACCACAATAATATACATGTAGTAACCCATCCTACTTGTACATGTTTATGGGACGTCATTCTGCAAATTTGGGATCCAATTTTTTTGTGTCCCCTGTCACATCTGACATGATTTGTAAGTTCATTCTCTAATTTCCGAGAACGATGAATTAATGCAGATTACCTGCCCAACAAACTGAAATAATTTGAAATCAATTTCAGTGATATTTACATGTTAAGTTTTACATGTCAGGTGTAACAGGGATACAAAAATACATTTTGGACTCCAAATTTATAGAATGACCAGGTGTGCATTTCACGCCAAGTGGGAATTTCCACCAATTCATTTATTAAGTAGGCCCTACACCATTACAGGTAATGAACAACATCAAGAAATCAAGATTTTTGATTTGTTTAAGTTCACTGTCATAATTATAAAATGGCACTTGGACTCACTGATCATCTTAGCAGGGTTTGTGAAAATCAAAAGGTTGGAGTTATAAAAGGAATGTCTCAACTCACAGATGTAAACACAAATAAGGCAGGAGCAGATCTACCAGTTACGAAGAAGGAACGGGCTAGAATAGAGGTAAACTTGAATACATGGGCAGGGCATACTTTTAATGCATGACATCTTCCTCTGAAAATTTCACAACAAATTAGAAAAACAATTAAAATTGGGAGGAGTGCTTGGGTAGAAGTCGTTTTCCACTTAGTCCTGTCATACAACACAAGTGTACATGGAACAAATGGTGTGGTTACCAAATAAGCCACACTGGAAGATTTCCAGTTGTACTGAAAAGTTTGAGCTTTGAACATTTGAAGAAATTCACATTATCAAATATAAACTTTTACCAGTATTCCATAATCACATAAACCAAAACCTGTCTCACTGTTATCAATTTTAAAGGTTGAATGAAATTCAATTGAGCCTCAATGAGAAAAAATCATTGTAACTTTGAATTTGAAAAATACAAAAATGACAAATGGTTGTTCATGTAACTTGGTTTTAACCCCAGAAATTATCTTACATGTAAATAACTCAGACCACAAAATGCACAAGTTAAACCACTACTTCAGATGTTACAAGTTGTGTTGGAGAGAGTTCCATAGCCAGATAGGCCAGTAACTTGACGCCATGAGCAAAATTCCTATGAGACTGGTCTGAAAAATTGTAAGTGCGACCTAAATGCTTCAACCTTTTCAGAGCTAAATTTGACTTTCTAGCACATGCTACTTTCTGATGGCCAACTGCAAGTGAAAATAAATAATGTCTGCATTACAAGTTTCATCATCAAGCCTGCAAGAAGTTAGTCCCATATTCATTTTATTGCTTTGGAATATGCCATGGCTATTGTTACGGCAGCCGTAATGCATCTGCCATTTTCTATTGTTATAGCACTGCAACTGCGCAAGCGCGCCAACTTAAGTGCAGATTTCGGACTTTATTTCCCTTAAAAAAAAATCCTCCAAAGCTTCCAATGAGAAAAGAAAAAAGATTCCTGCTTAGGCATATAAAATTTGAAACCAGTATAAAACATGAAATTTAGGCAACAAAAATAAAATGGTCCAAAGGCGGAATTGAATTTACACATCAATGGTTCAAAACCTTTCCCCTTAACCACTTGGCCACAAGCATGGAAAATTTTATAAAGTATCGTGATGATCAGCTACATCATCGCACTTGCGCAGTTCAGTGCCGTAATGATAGAAAATGGGAGATGAGTTACGGCTGCCATAACAATAGCCACTTCGTTTGAAATAATGCATGATTATTGTCTGCTATAAAAAAATAAGTAAATTTGATATATTTTTTATAGTGAAGGTAATTCACTTTGGAATTTTTTGGCTAAATTTCTCGTTTTAGGACGTTACGGCTTTCTAACCCCTGGTTGCCTAACATTTTAAAGTATGTAAGAGAAAATTAGTTTTGTCCTAAGGCCTATATGGGACTCTTTACCTTTAATGCAGACAAGTTTTTGTGTAAATATTATTATTATTATTATTATTATTTATTCATGCCAATTCTTTTTATCACATATCAGATGGGCATGAGAGAGGCAAAAGCGATAACAATCACTGTGGCCAAAGACCTGCCACACCTCATCAAGTTGTGTATGGAGTAAATAAATATAAATAAAATACTAAAATATAGAAGTATTTGAAGCCAAAAATTAGAACGTACTACTCACACTGTATGGAGCAGTCGCAAATTACCCTCAGCCACCGGATTCCGTGGTGGTGCCTGGGGTTCCTCGAAGTCCCCAGTCGGCGGTACGACACTCATCATGCTCCGTGGTGTGGAGCTCTTAGACGACAGTACATCGGGGCTGAGTGTTGGTTTCATATGCCGAGCCACACCGGCCCCCGATACACCAGCCAAACTGAGAGCGTACATGGTAACAACTTGAGAAGCCTCAACTGGTTATTTATTTACTTGTCAGGCTTGACAATATACAGTTACGGGAGGAAATATGAGAAAACGGGGACGAACGAACCGAGACCTGAATTCTTCGGTTTCTGAGTTAGCACGACATGCAGAAGTCAGCGCGTATGTGGTGAAACCGTGGTACATGCCACACACAGAATCGCAGCAAAAGTCTACCTTTTCTTGTCGTGAGGCCTCCACGAGAAAACCGATTCCCTTTCTTTCGAATTTGCCACTATGCCGTGACAATGACAAATTAACAATGAATTGATTCTGAACATCTGTATTTTCGTAGGTAATGTGATATACATGTATTTTAGGGCAATTTTCAGGGCAAAAAATCGCAAAAAGAGTTCCGCTTAGCAACGTTGCCGCTGCTACTATCCTCTTGACCTTTAGGGTCAGTTCATTCCGGGTAGGCCTAAGTCTAATTTGGTAAGTATAGGTTTAAATAAGGATGGTTTATTGTGAAAGTTATAAAAAAATTTTTAAGTAATTTGTAAACTAAAATGTCTGTGTTAAATCGAATAATTTTTCTTTTTTTGTTTTTTGTAATATTATTCCTTTGTAATGAAAATTTTGAAAAGGACAACAAAATGAACTAGCTACTTCCCCTACGTTAAAGTGTAAAAATCCCCAAGCATATTCTCTTCCGGGTCACTTTCAAACGCTCGAACATGACGGAGCTGAGCTAGTCAAGGTATAAAAAAGGAGGAGGTGTGTGCTTTCGCTTTTTCTGCCAAAATATGTATGATACAGGAATGGTATAGATGTTTTGAAGCTTTGTAACGACGGTGCATGTGAATGCCACTCTCCTGTTATCGTTTATACTACCCTAGTAGTTGAACCATGCAGGAATAACGTTGGTAGGCCTAGGCCTACTTTAAACCTTAGAAATGAAAGAGGCAGGCTAAAATATTTTTCAAATTTTTTTCTCTGTTCTGTTCTGGAAAGGATGTCATAACTATTTTGATATGAATTTGGATTCCATCGGACCCTGCAAAGCAAAGAAATATTTTTGAAATGGGAATGTTTTGAGAGGATTTTTGTATATTTGTAAGTTGTATTAAACGCAGAGCAAACTGTGATTATTTTGTACACAAAAAGTGTAGATTTTAACCAAAACCTCAAAATTCATTTTTTGTAAAATATTTGTTCTTATTTGTGCCTTATTTCAATGAATCAAATGCTGGCCTCACTTCAAATTTCAAAAATTGTTGACTTTGGAAATAAACAGAGCTTCAGCTGCAAAAAAAAAGACAAATTTTAATCACAAGAAAATGAGTTTCCGAACAAATAGCGCCCTCACTTATTTATTCATGTCTCTAACATGGTGAATGTGATATCATCTTTCGATCTCGGGTTGTCAGTGCCATCACGGCATTCATGTCAGTTGATCACATTTTTGGTTAGATTGCTCTGGCATGTCTGAATGTATCCCCAGGGGTTCAACGTCCCCTCCCCCTGCTCCCACGTGGGAGTGGGGCGGACGTCAGACCAAGATGTTGGCTTCCACATCAGCAGCATCTGGCACTCCATAATACCCTCCAAGACCAATGGGTCATCTATACCCATGGTCCCTAGTTCCTCCCACTACACCAACTGCCCCACTGCCACACATCACTGAGCGCACTCAGTAGTCTTCCAGTCCAGCGGATCCACCATCAAGCAAGTCGCTCTACCTCAGTGCACCCTTAGTATCCTCTCCAGCGCTTAAAATCAGCATCCTTAGTTCCAGGCAACCATTCATCCTCCTGAAGACAAACAGAGCATACTGTTTGGAACGTTGAGTGTCCACCATCGGTTCTTCTCAGGACCACACACTCATAAAAGAAATATTTTCTTGTAAAAGGTGCATCCGCAAGCCTACCTAACTTAGTCAGACCCCAAAGTTCTGGGGATAGTCTGAATGAACGTTTTTAATTTAACATGGGGCATTAACTTGATCAGAGAGTGGTACGACATGTTCAACCATGGTCTGTGTATAACTTGGCCTGTCATGCTGTAGTGTACAACATCTTTTTTCGTCATTTGAACTTTGCCTATGGTCAAGTGATAGTTGCCACATGTACTATCCGTAGCCATGTTCAGATGTTACTTCGACCTACGTGCTTAGATTAATCACAAAGGTGGAACGAGGAGCCTCGGGTATTACCCAATCATGACTGTGTGTTCTTAGATTTAGCTCTGTTTTTAACATTTGGTAAAACTGGTTGATTTTCTGTCAGCAAGACTCCCACTTCAACTTTTTTTCCCAGGTACATGTATGCACTTTTGCCAAGTGCATGTAGGCCTAATGGCTCATCAGCCACCCCACCCTCCAGATCCACTGTTCATGCTCCGAGGATCCAAAGATGCAGTGAACTGTGTAAAATTCTATCCGTCAGCTGATAGGAAGAAAGGAAGGCTATTGTCCGGGTAAGGGTGTAGAACGTGATATAGAATTTCACAAAACTGACACATCTAACAGGAGACTTTGAGATGCTTGGCTGTGGCAAACATGCTAGTCCCACATGACCCATCTACAGTCGTTTGCATCACGCTTGAGCCGAAGTGTGCATTAATGACGCAAACAGTAGTGGGCTGGTCATGTGGGAGATGTATATTTGCCGCCACGAAGTGCCTCAAAAGTCTCCCACTGCAGTAGACCCTAACCACATTCATTAACAATTATGTACTCCATGCATGAGCACCTGCTCAGCCATCATGTGAGAAAGATCATATAGGTTTGTGCACATTCAGACGAAAGTGAATTGTGCAATACACTAGGCTGCCATGTGAGTGAAGATCTGTGCATACATGTACAAGATGCGTCTGCCTCTTCAGACAATGTTGCTGGGTATTTACAAAGCACCTTTTACCATTCATGCTCGGATTTCACAGAGGTTGAATCCCATATATGTATATAAACATATAAAAGAATTTACAAGGATGGGGACTATACCCAGCAAAATATGGGACGGAAGTGTACTACCCTACATTTCCAATCCCTATACACACTCTAGACTATTGTTACCTAACACATCCCCCTAGATATTTGAAAAGAATTACTGAGATTCTGATCAAACAATGACCAACACAAAGGGAGGGGGAGCTCTCTGTCCCATATCCTGCTTCAAATGTTGGGGACAGTTTGAATTTTGAGAAGTGTGATTTTCCATGACAGTGTAGTATCACCTTATTCATCAAACATATAAATCAGCAGTAACCAAGAAACTGTGGAATCTTTTTCCCTATCATGATATTTGTGACCCGTTACAACAAAATGAGAGTAAAGTCACATCCCGCTCTTTCCTATTTTGAGGGTTCAAAGTCATATTGAAGTAGATGTCAATTTTGGGTTTTGTAATATTTGGAAAGAGTTACTTGTCTTCTATTTAATTCCAAATATTTTACAGAGTCATGTATATAAAAATGTCATTTTCTCAGCAATTTTGACAATAGCATTATTCGTGCCTGGTCTGAATTGTTGAAAAAAATGTCAGGAACAAAGATGCAAAGCTGCCAGAATAATGCCACATTGTCACATTAAATACTTTTACCCTAAGTGTTCCATGTACATACCATTGGAAAGCTCTCTTTCTGCTGAATTAAAAAATACCAATATCTCAGTTTTTGAAAATTGTGGTGACAGGTCTTATTTTTCCTTTTTGGTTTTCAGTCACTGAAAAACCTTGAAATCAGTATTAGATGTTCCCTAAATTGGGTAGATTGGACCCTTTTTTTAAAGTATTCTTTTTTGAAGAAATTAATAGTCAGTTGTGTTTTCAAGATGTATTTTTGCGTTGGGGAGATGTTAATTATATATAACGGGTTTGCCCTTACCCAACGTAT